ATTTTGGGTGCTTTGGGGTATTTGGAGCTGATTTTTGGGGCTGGATTTGGGATATTTTGGGATATTTTGGGGTGTTTGGGGTTGGTTTTCGGGTGTTTTTGGGGTGTTTTGGGGTGGTGTTTTGGGGTGTTTTGGGGTGTTTTGGGATATTTTGGGGTGTTTTGGGATATTTTTGGGTGTTTTTGGGTTTTTTGGGGCATTTTTGGGGTGTTTTTGGGCTGTTTTTGGGGCGTTTTTGGGGTGTTTTGGGTTGTTTGGGGCTGTTTTTTGGGTGTGTTTTGGGTGTTTTTGGGGTGTTTTTGGGTGTTTTTGGGGTGTTTTGGGGTGTTTTTGGGGTGTTTTTGGGTGTTTTTGGGGTGTTTTTGGGTGTTTGTGTGTCCCCACCCACCTTGACGGTGCGGATGTAATCCAGGGCGTTGGGAACCAGCGACTCCAGCTCCGGGAATCTCTTGGAATATTTATCCCGGATAAACTTGTGGATGATGTCTGGTGGGGAACCCCCAAAAAATCCCCAAAATCAGACCCAAAATCAGACCCAAAATCCTCAAAATTTCCCCAAAAATCCCCCCCAAAAATCCCCTCAAACCCAAAAAAACCGACCCAAAATCACCCAAATAATCCCCAAAATCCAACCCAAAATCCCCCAAAATCCCCCCAAAACCCCAAATCAGACCCAAATTCCCCCCAAAATCCAACCCAAAATCCCCCAAATTCCCCCCAAAACCCCAAATTCCCCCCAAATTGCCCCAAATCCCCCGAATTCCCCCCAAATCCGCGCTCACTCAGCTCGTTCTCGATCTCCACCGTCAGGTTGTTGGCGTCCACGATCACCCGGTACTCGGGAGCCGCCTCCACCGGCCCCAAAACTGCCCAAAAACACCAAAATCCACCCCAAATTCCCCAAAATCCACCCAAAATTCCCCAAAATTCCCCAAAACCCACCCGGGAAACCCCAAAATTCCACCTGGAAACCCCAAAATTCCACATGGAAACCACAAAATTCCACCTGGAAACCCCAAAATTCCACCTGGAAACCCCAAAATTCCACATGGAAACCACAAAATTCCACCTGGAACCCCGAAATTCCACCTGGAAACCCCAAAATCCACCCAAAATTCCAGCAGGAAACACTAAATCCACCCAGAATTCCCCAAAATTCCACCTGGAAACCCCAAAATCCACCCAAAATTCTCCAAAACTCCATCAGGAAACCCTAAAATTCCCCAAAATCCACCCGGGAAACCCCAAAATTCCAGCAGGAAACCCCAAAATCCACCCCAGAAACCCCTAAATCCACCCAAAATTCCCGAAAATACCCAAAAATTCCCAAAAATCCACCCAAAATTCCCCAAAATTCCCCAAAATCCACCCAGGAAACCCCAAAATCCATCCAAAATTCCCAAAAATCCACCCAAAATCCACCTAAAATCCCACCTGGAACCCCAAAATTCCAGCGTGAAACCCCAAAATCCACCCAAAATTCCCCAAAATTCCCAAAATTCCCCCAAAATTCCATCAGGAACCCCAAAATCCACCCAAAATTCCCAGAAATACCCCAAAATTCCCAAAGATCCACCCAAAATTCCCAGAAATACCCCAAAATTCCCAAAGATCCACCCAAAATCCACCCAAAATTCCCCAAAATCCACCTGGGAAACCCCAAAATCCCACCTGGAACCCCAAAATTCCAGCGTGAAACCCCAAAATCCACCCAAAATTCCCCAAAAATTCCCAAAGATCCACCCAAAATTCCATCTGGGAACCCCAAAATCCACCCAAAATTCCCAGAAATACCCCAAAATTCCCAAAGATCCACCCAAAATCCACCCAAAATTCCCCAAAATCCACCTGGGAAACCCCAAAATCCCACCTGGAACCCCAAAATTCCAGCGTGAAACCCCAAAATCCACCCAAAATTCCCCCAAAATTCCCAAAATTCCATCTGGGAACCCCAAAATCCACCCAAAATTCCCCAGAATTCCCCCAAATTCCCCAAATCCTCCAAAACTTGGGGAATTCTGGGCTGTGGGAAGCGGAAATTTGGGAATTCTGGGCTGTGGGAAGGGGAAATTTGGGAATTTTGGGCTGTGGGAAGGGAAATTTGGGAATTCTGGGCTGTGGGAAGCGGAAATTTGGGAATTTTGGGCTGTGGGAAGCGGAAATTTGGGAATTCTGGGCTGTGGGAAGGGGAAATTTGGGAATTTTGGGCTGTGGGAAGGGAAATTTGGGAATTCTGGGCTGTGGGAAGCGGAAATTTGGGAATTTTGGGCTGTGGGAAGCGGAAATTTGGGAATTCTGGGCTGTGGGAAGGGGAAATTTGGGAATTCTGGGCTGTGGGAAGGGGAAATTTGGGAATTCTGGGCTCACCTTCGGCAGCCTTGGGCTGTTTCCCGATGTATTCCTCGATTTTCTGCATGATCTCGGCAAACTGCGGGAAAATCCCAAAATTCCGGGGCTTTTGGGGCGGATTTGGGGCTTTTGGGGATTTTTGGGGGAATTTTTGGGATGGATTTGGGATTTTTTGGGAATTTTTGGGGATTTTTTTGGGAATTTTTGGGATGGATTTGGGATTTTTTGGGATTTTTTGGGGCGTTTTGGGGGGGATTTGGGGGATTTGGGGATTTTTTTGGGAATTTTTGGGATTTTTTTCGAACGGATTTGGGGATTTTTGGGGATTTTTGGGGATTTTTGGGGAATTTTTGGGATTTTTTTGGGATTTTTTTGGGATTTTTGGGGAATTCCTGGGATGGACTTGGGGGATTTTGGGGTAATTTTTAAGGATTTCAGGTGTTTTCGGGGTGTTTTTGGGGTGTTTTGGGGCAGTTTTGGGGTGTTTTTGGGTGTTTTTGCGATAATTTTGGGGTGTTTTTGGGGTTGTTTTGGGGTGTTTTTGGGCTGTTTTGGGGTGTTTTGGTTGTTTTGGGGTGGTTTTGGTTGTTTTTGGGTATTTTTGGGTGTTTTGGGCTGTTTTGGGCTGGTTTTGGGTGTTTTCGGGGTGTTTTTGGG